AGTTGAACGCCAATTTAAGTGAAAATCGCTACTTCGCCCACTTTTTCAAATTTAAAATTCAAATTTGCGCTACATATTTAATTATTTATTTATTTAATATAAAATTGTTTTCTTAGGTGCAAATATTATATAGGTATCTCGAAAGACAATTCTATCCATGGCAGAAAAATACAGGTAGATGCATCAACGCTTAGGAACGTTGATATGTCAAAATATTTTAAATGTCTTTTTCAAATATAAGTAGATTTTTATATGTTTTCTCATACGACGTCATTCGAAGGTTATTATAATACGCGTTTTTCAACAATTTCTACAAATCGAAATATTTTTTCATTCAACATTTTCAATTCCAAAATTAGTTTGACAGTTCATTGTCCCAGCAGCTGAGTCGATGCGTCTACCTATATTCTTCTACCATGATTCCATCATAAATTTTCATTAACAAGATTCACACACGGTTGATTTAAGAAGGTAAACTAGTACAATCATATTCTGTGTAAGGGGATGCCAGATCCGCACTCGAATCCTGCCGTCGTTTTCCTTTATAATTTGATATTAATATGCCTAGTCATTATGCCAAGCTGCTTATGTACCCACGCCTATAACTTTGGCTATGGTAGAATTAAGAGGGTAAAGTCATGCAATCATACGATAACAAATTTTTCAAAATTATTATTTTTACAATATCTCATTTAAAATTCTATTGTACAGGGTGAGATAAAAAACTGCAACAAAGTCAAACGCCATAATTTTTACATTTTTTTAAATTTTATTGAATGAAATCAAAACATGTCGGAAATAGCATCAAATTTTAGAATAAGTTTAGATTTGTTCGAAATGATCACTTTTGGCACGAATTATGGCCTTCAAATGGCTAATGAAACTGTCACACGCTGCCCGAATGTTACATTGCGGTATTTTGGCCCATTTCCCGGCGAAGCGATTGCTTAAGGTGATCGACACTTCGGTATTTTTAGTGCCAACCTTGCTTTTCAAAATACTCCAGACACAATAGTCCAACGGATTGGTATCCGGAGATGGAGATTTTGGTGGCCATTGTGCGCTGGAAATGAAGCGAGGAACCTGATTTTTAATCATTCTTGTGTGGCGCTTGCTGAGTGCTGAGTGCTGAGTCCTGTTGGAATGTCCAAGGTCTGCGGCCAAAATGTTTGCGTGCCCAAGGCTTTAATACACCCTCCAAAATATTTTCGCGATAATAGTCGGCATTTATTCTGATGCCACGGTCGATTAATACGAGCGGAGAGCGAACATCGGCTGTTATGGCGGCCCACACCATCCCATGTTGATGGGCGCTTGAGTTCTGGTGGCCAACCGAAAGTGGACATTTTCAGCTGACCTCTTTGGCAAATAAACGCGATCATTTTGTTTGTTTACAAACTGCTGGACAACGAATGTTCTCTCATCGGAGAAAACCAAATTCGGCAGTTCACCACTTTTGGCCAAGCGAAGCAACTCTTTAGCTCTTTTGGGTCTGTTTCCTTTCTTCTGCGGTGTAAGTTCTTGCACTTTTTGGAATTTCAATGGCTTTACCCCAAGCTCATTTTTCAATATTTGACGAATGCAATATTGCGATATGTTCAGCTCAAGAGCCATTTTTCGGCCACTGCGACGCGGGTTTCGATCAAGTCGCATCTTTACTTTTCGAACCATTTCTGTTAATGTTGCTGTTTTCTTCCGGCCATTTCCTTGACGTCCGGCTATGCTACCAGTATCACGATAACGAGCAATGGTACGAGACACAAAAGATTTATTCACATTTAAATTTAAAATGCAAATTATAAGCCCTTATCTACGCCGAACATGTTTTCATAAAACTCGTAATTTAAATGATAGCATGGCACAATTACAGAATGTAAAACAAAGCTACCTCCTAAATATATATATATATTTTTTTTTGGTGTTCCTATTAGGTCAAAATATGTACCCAGTTTGGATACAAATGAAAATAATTTGGAATTATTTCAATTCAGTTGCAATCGATGTGCATATTTCCACATTAACGGGCAACAAAATTTATAATTTTAAAATAAAACAACATTCCATTAATGCTTTATAGGGTTTCCTCAATATAATAATAATTGTGAAAAATATATAAAATAAACAAAGCCTATTGTTGCATTTTAACACAATTCAAATAAAGAACTGAACTTTAAATTTGCTTTCAGAATTGCAACTCTGAATTCCATGTTAAAATATTATACTATCTGGCAACGCCACAACTAAACGACAGTCTAATCATGACATTCATTCACTGAACATACCCATCAACACAACAAAATATACAAAATTAAAAAGCCAAATATTTTCCATAAAATAAAGTGACACTGTGACATTTAACTGGAAATTTTCACTTCGTCTACCCGATTAACGAACAAAAGGGTAAGTTCCAATAAGAATCAATTAGATGTAATATACGGAAACTCAAATTCCAAGCTCTTCGGGTGGTAAACAAAACAATTAGAATTACTACATGTGAGACAAGGTAGACTAATAAAGTAGGCACATCTATCGCATATGCCAAACAACGTTGGAAGCAAAATAAATAAGAGGCACAATTAAGAATGAGGAGTTAGTTGCAGTTTTCGGATTTAATGTTTTTAGTAAAAATATGCAATTATTGTAGTTGTAGGCATAGCAAAATGCAAAAATCAGTAATGGCAATCCTTGTTTATATTGGAATCCCCACGTTATCAAAAACGTATTTCAAAACGATTTCGGGGGCCCCACTGACAGAAAAATATATTTTAAAGAAAAATTCTCGAAACCTATCTATTGTCATTTTCAAATAATATTAACATTTATTCCATCACAATTTATAAAAGACGAGTGACATATTTTTATAAAATTTTAAAGTAAAGCAGTTAAGGGCTAAGTACATAAGAAGCTTGAAGTCATGGCACGGCCTATTTTGTGACATTTCACAAAGGAATTACAGAGCCGCACTAAAAACCTGCCGTCGTTTTTCATTACAATTTGGCATTAATATGCCTAGCCATGACTTCAAGCTTTTTATGTATTTGCAGCCTTAGACGTTGTCGCGTTGAGTGAAAGAAAAAAAACATATCTTACATATGCATGTGTCTATTGACATTAATACACCAAAAAAAATCAAAGTTAAATAATAATTTTTTCTATCCTACCATGGTAAAATTAAGAAGGTAACGTAATTCCAAATAATAATACACATCTCTGCATTTTCTGCAATTTACCTTGTCAAATTTCACTGAATAGAGAAAAGATTTCCATCTTTGATTTGGGTATATACAATGGATTTGTAAATTTATATTTTGAAAATAAGATGTCAAACGAATAATTTTGAAAAAAAAAAAAATTGTAAACATATGATATCATGACTTTAACTTCTTCATTCTACCATGTATTCTACGATACACATTGTGATCGCCACCTTATGTTATATGTTATTTTTATGGTGTATGGATACCAGGAATTTTAAATAACACAAGTCGTTCTTACATTTCGAAAGAGAACATTTCAATTTTTAATTTTGAAGGTAGGAATTTTATATCTTATGTTAGCATGAGATTTCCTCGTATTGTTTTTTGGCATGAGTTTTAGGGTATGCATTCTAAAGGTGAGGGCACATAAACAGCTTGTCATCAGGACTGGGAATATTAATGCCAAATTATAAGGTGGAACGACGGCAGAAATCGAGTGCGGCTCTGGTACTACTTCAAGATACGTCACAAAATATGCGATGCGAAGACTTCCCACACCTTAACGGCTGTATGATACCGTAGCGTGACACCGTCGTTAAGCTCAACACATTTGTTGAATCCAGACATATTAGTCTTAAGGTGAGGGTACATAATCTCCTTGGTATTATGGCTATGCATATTAATATCAAATTATAAAGGGAAACAAAGACGAAATTTGAATTTGGCTCTGACACCCCTTTATGAGATGTCACAAAATATGCCATGTGAAGACTTCAAGCTGTTTATGTATTCGTATGATTAGGGTTTTCTTCATTTCGAAACGTAAATATTTGTTCTATCTGCTGTTTTGTAGATATGCACTCAAATCTCAACAGAGTTTGAAAACTTCCAAATTATTTTGTATATTATATTCATATTTTGTATATTATGCCAAAATTTTTGTTTTTTGATTACCAAATTTGGAAATTTTTAGGTAGGAATATAGGAAAAATCCATTAAATATTTTTCTCATCTTTTAAAATATATTATTAATTTTTATTATAATTTACATTTTGATTATGATTTGTTCTTCATCGCCTAAACAACTATTAGTGCGCATACGAGGACGTCTCTAAAATTAGTGCAAAGTTGGTCGAGATCTTTATGCAAACAACTTTTTAAGCCTTATTTAAACCTATTTAGTTTGTCTATACCTTTGACTATACGTCAAAAATTTAAAGTCGTCGTAACTCTTGTTTCTCTAATATAGGTGCCTTTAGGATCGACGTAACTCGTTTTTCTTCAATATAGTCGGCTTTTAGGTCTTGGTAACCAGGTTGTGAAATATGTATATTTTAAGTCCACTTACACACAACTTCTGATATTTATGTTTCTATTTATATATTTTTCTAATAATACAATATTTATAAAAAAAATTAATTAAATTTCATTAAAATAATATAAATTAAAATTAACATTTATATTATATTTATAAATATCATCGAAATCAATTAAATTGCTTAAAATCTCAACGATGGCTACCTCATGCATGTGCCTTGAAGCACACAGATTTGTACACACACATGGTTGCATTACAGTGTACATACACACATAAATGCTAATAAATATTTTTTTAATATACTCGATAAAAATAACATTAAAATTTTATTTATGTTATTGAAATACCCATTTCCATTGAATTATTCAGAAATTTCCCTTAATATTTGTAAAATGTCTATGTTTACTAACTATTCCCATGCATACACTTTCGTTGCAACCCTGTAATGGTCGCTGACGACTTTTCATTGGAAATGACGTTTGCGCACTTTTTTCTTCTCTTCCAATCAGATTTTGGAAATATTTTTTCCATATTGATTAGTTATGTCGCTTTTATTGTTTACTCAAAGTTTTTTTTGTTAAATTTTGTGTAAAATCTTTTGGAAGGAATTACTTTTGTAAAGTAGAAAACAAACGAAAACAAGTGCTTTGAGAATTTGCATTAAATGTGAGAATAATGTGCTTTTTATGCGAGCGCGAATCCAAAGTGTAAAGTGAGTGTAGTGAGCAAGAAAAAAAAATAAGGCAAAAGACGAAGAAGACGAACTGAAGCAAGCAAAAAAGAACAAAAAAAAAAATAAAATAAAACAGAAACGGCAGCGATTGATACAACATCGCCAAACCACCACTACAGATGTCCACAGGAGTGGGAGGTGGAGGGAGCATAACGACAGATCATCATAGCCGCCTGTATTTCCTCAACTCACCCACGGCACCACTGTCCGCACGCGACCCCTTCTTAATCAAACCCGAATACCTCAATTATGATAATCCCATGCATCATCTGTACCCAAGCAATAGGGGGCTTATAGACTACAACAATTATACGGTCACAGCAGCGGCAGCAGCAGCAAATGCAGTGGCAGCCGCCTCCTCAGCGAACAACAGCACTAACAACAACGCCAACAGTAATACAACATCTGCCTCCGCCACCAATACCAATAACAATTCCACCTCCGCTGCTGCCGCCGCTGCCAACACCACTGTAGTAGCAGCTGTAGCCCTTAATCTAGAGAATACCTTCCAGCATCAGGCCCAGGTCCAGCAGCAGCAGTTGCAACAACAGACTAACGCCCACAATACCAACAACAGTAACAACACCACAACCACAGCACATCCGCTGCATCATACCCTCAGCACACCCACAACACAGTCAACACGAGCCCAAAAAGCCGCCCGTCGCCGCAGTAACGAATCACCGGAGGCCCGCCAACGAAGACTGGAGCGAAACGCCGCCAGGATGCGCGAGAAACGCGCCAAGGAATCGGAAGCCGAGTATCGCTTGCGTCTGGCCAAGAATGCCGAGGCGAATCGTATACGACGTCAGAATGAAAATGAAGTACAAAGAACCTTAAGACTGATGAAAAATGCTGCTCGTCAACGATTACGACGGGCCAGTGAAACGCCCGAGGAAAGAAAAAAGCGTTTGGCCAAAGCAGCTGAGCGTATGCGTATAGCGCGTGCCAAACAACCCAAAATACCTAAGCCGCCTCTGGAGGATCGTCTTAAGGGTTACTAAAGCATGAAAGGAATACGAAAAACGAAACGCGAAAGAGCCGCCATCAATGTCGCTAAGAAAGAAAGAAAAAAAGCGCCAACGCAATTGCAACAATAACAGCAGCAACATCAACCTCAACAATATCAACAACAACAACGCCCAACAGTAATTTGAACTTTTCTGCCCCCATCCATTGACAGCAAGCAAGCCTAGGAGCTTTGCGCTTCTTTCAAGACCCAGGGAGCTAGGCGCACTTCACTGTGCCGCAGTTAGTGCGAAAAGCGAAAAGGAAAACAGAGAGGGGGCGGGAAAGTTTAAAGGACTGTTAGACGTGGACCACGACGATTACGACGACGGTGACGACAGCCAGGCAGCACAGCAAAACATTACATATATATATATATATAGAAATATATTTAACAAAAGTAAAGAAACAATACCGCAAAGCAACAACAAACATAAAACACACAAAAATCTACACTCAGAGAACAAGAAAAACAAAACAAAACACCAGCACATTAGCAATAATAGGCACCTCCACCACCCCAAACCCACACTTTTTTTCTTCTATCCAACTAATGCTTAAGTTTTGGAACTTCATTTTTAAATCGAACGAAAGAAAAAAAACGTTTCTTTTTTGTGATCAAGGCGCTCCCGCTCCCTGTTTCCCAGCCAGAGATGGAGGAAAACAAATGTCAAGGCAGACACCTTTTCCTTTCATGAATGTCCTTCAAAATTGATTCCCATTTTCGCATATTTAAAATTTGGAAAAGAAAATGTTCATGTCTTTAAAAGGAGAGGCGTCTCCGCACACCTTTAGATGTTTAGAAGATACCACATTTTCATTGATTGTGTGAATTAAAAATGTGTTTGGTTTTTAGTTTTGTTAAAGGCAATAGAAGGCAAAGTTTTGTTTGTTTGTTTTATTTTCTCAAATTCAAGTCAAAACAATTCCCAAAATATTTTGTGACCCAAGCGAAAGGCTTTCTCCCTTCATTCTACCGGAGTACTTAAATGGCTAGCAAACCGAATAAGATCTGAAAAGAGATGTGGGTGATGGGGGTACGTTAATGAAGATGATAATAATAATATGATGATGATCAGGATCAGGATGACAACAACAACAATTGGAGCACAATGATGTTATTATGAAACAAAATGCGTGTAATATTGATATGGTTTTATTGTCGTTTTCGTTGACGAGCTGCATCTTTCATCAACCTTAAGGTTCAGAGTTTTTTCAACATTTCAAGAAGAGAAGCCGTTTTTATCCTGTACCACAAGACATCCATCCCCCACAATAATTACTAACAGGAATATTCAACATCTATGTATTGTCAAAAAACAATTTTCAACAAAAAAAAAAAAAAAAAAGAAAAACAAGTAACAACAAAGATAAACTAAATATAATAAGAATTTTAACAATATTTTGAATGTTCCCCCAACAAAAATTTTCCAGAACAAAACATATGCCTAGTTATTTTCCCTTTTGCATTGTTTGTGAGGTTTCAAAAAAAGAAAATCCATCTTTCGTTGAAGCATTGTCCTTACCATAACTATCAGTGAGTAAAATTACAGTCTCTTAGGGATCCATTCAATTTCAAATAATTGTTTTTTTATTTTTTTTTTTTCTTAAAAGCTACCAGTGTCCTTTATATATATATCTCAGTTTATAAATAAAGAATATTTATTTTAAATTTACCCCTATACTTTAAGCTAGTGGCCTTTTCCTTTTTTTGTGTTTTATACAAATTCAATATTGGTTAGCTGTTAAGGATGAGAGGATATGTATGGCATGAAAGAGAATATGTATGGCATACCGATATCGAAATAGGTATTTGTAAAGAATTTTCAGTCTATTTCTCAGCAACTCTCGTGAAGTGCAAGTTTTAGGGTATCGTATTTCAATTTAAACACCTGATACCGTTAATGAAGAACTTTCTGGAAAAGTATTTTTTATGTTTTCTTTTTTTGTCAAAAATATAGATTTATTTTTGCCATAACAAAATATTCCAATAACTTCTGTTTTTGAGTCCACTTTTTGTAGAACCCGTATAGGAAAAAGACAAATATATCAGACATTCATAACAACCAGGTAGAGAGCGTCAATGTGGATTGAGTCTCTTTAGGTTCTATATTTGAAAGAATTTTCTGAAAAAGTATGTTTTATGTTTTCTTTTTGTCAAAAATACAGATTTATTTGCCATAACAAAATATTCCTATAATTTCTGTTTTTTGGGAATCGTTGTCTGGGGTCCTTTGAACCCATAGAAGTCATAAAGTTACATTTTGTAGAACACATATCCAGGAATAAGACAAATGTATCTGATATTCTTGAATAGCGGGAAAAGAGGTTGTGTTTTTTTTTGAGTCACTTTAGATTCCATGTTTGAAAGTGCCCTATATTTTTCTACATATCATTTTGAATGTTTCCTATAGAACCCTCTTGTCATAACCCATATTTAATAGGGATGTTTTATGGTCTTTAGTAAAATCCATATATTTTTAAACCCAGCAGATCAATAGTGGAATTTTATTTACTTGCCGTTGACTTATGGAACATTTTTCTAAAATATTGAAACAAATAATACAATTTTTGGTTACAGATAATTGTCGTTACAGTGTTCCAACATAACCACAATTTCAAGAATTTTTCGAAAATGAGGTACGGAGCTACGCTTTATTCACTTTAAGCATGCAATCCCTTGAAAGCTCGATATAATCTATTGCATGGTACAATTGATTTTGAAAATATTTTGTTTTTATTTTTCAAAACAGTAAATACCTACACAAAATTGTAGAAGTCGGGCACACTTAGAAAAAAATGTAATCAGCTGGTAGCTCTACCTTACCTTTTTAGTACCATGATCTATTGTAGGCTATAGCTTTTACTTCACTGCAATAGAATCGAGGAAAATATATACTTTCAAAATTATTTTAAAAATCGTTTTTTGTAGAAAATTTCCCTTACACCTGATTTCAGCAGAAGATTTTGTGGAATATATTGTGAATAAGGCTTTTCAAGGGTACTGTTATTTTATTCAGGCCATGTTACGGAAGACGTTGGGAAAATCTTATTTACCCCAGATAAGGGGTAAAGGTGTGGGAATTTAAAATCTTTTCGGAAAACGAATCTAATGGTAATCACCCCTTTTTAATATTGATAAGAAAGAAATAAAGGAGCTCTGCTAATTCTTTTGAATTCCTGCTTTCAGTACTTTGGTGCAATGTTTGTGGCTTGCTATCAATCTGCGATTCTGGCAAGTGGCAAATGCAAAAAGCTACCAAACCATAAAGTCAAGAAAGCCTTTTGGGGTAACTCCTTTTTAAATTGATCTCTAACCATAGGAAAGTTTCAAAACATTGCCTTCTAGCCTTTAAAAACAAAACTAAAACAAATTTCCTTTTTTTGTAATTTTAATAATTTTGAAAATCAAACACACAAAAGCTAAATGAAGATATATATAAATCGAAAAAATAGTTATAATAATACATATATACATATAAAAGAACTGTAGTTCGTAGCTGTAGTTAAAATGCATAAAAATACATATTTAAATAAAATAATAAAAAAATGACAAAAAAAAAAACAAGAAAATCAATCACAAGATTATCACTTGGCGGTGATAACTAATAATAAAAAAAATAAAATCAACCACACTAAGATGAAATAGAAATCAATAAGAAATGGACATATTCATACAATTTAAAGAAAAAATACAAAAATTAAAAAAAAAAAATAAAAAAACAACAGTAGTAGAGGTTGGAGAAAACAAAAACACAGTAAATATTTTGTAGCAGAGTAGAGCAAACAAATATTATTAAGATTAAAAAAAAAACAAAATCTTATAATGAAAGGAAACATATATATACATAAATACTAACATATATATACATACATAATAATAGTAATAATAATAATAAAGGAAGAATAACGCGCAAAGCTAGAACTTAAAGTAATACTTTGCCTCATCAAAAGAAAGGAAAATCATTAATAAACAAAAAAAGAGAGAAAATAAGTAAATTACTATTAACAAACAACAAAAGCATTAACATATTAAACAAAAATTAATAAGAAATCGTTTTAAGATTAACAAAATAAAAGTATTTTTATAACACATGCATTATACATGTATGCTTACAATTATATTTAAACAAGAAATGAAAAGAAAAAAACACACAATTTAAGAAAGAAAATATCACAATAAAAAAAGTAAATCAACCAATATGTAACAGAAACAACAACAACAAACAATATAACTGTAGCCGAAGCTACAATAACAATTTGCGTATGTAAATTTTTACAAGGAAACAACAACACCAACCAACCATATAAGACATACATACACACACACGCGCATACACATACATTAACCAGTCATTTACTCAACTCAATCTAAACACTTTTTCCAGCATCATTAACACATCCGGGCATATTCTTCAACTCCCCAATCACCACACGTCAACATCTATTTCAGTATCAACAATTTAAGACATTAAACTTTCTCCTCCCTCCATTACACCTCAAACACACACACACACACACACAAAACCAAAACAAATCCTTTTTTGCACAACCTTTTTTTGATTTTGTGACAAATAACAAGGACTGGAAACTTGGAGAATGAAAATAACAACAATTGGGAATCTAACAGACTATAATAAAAAAACATAAAAATTTTTATACTTTTTTCAAAGAGTTACATATAAACCGAAAAACAAAAAGATCTAGAAGAAGAAGAGATGTAGAAGAAATTAATATCTTATATATACACACACATTCATACATGCGTACATACATACATATATATAAGAAATGAATGATGATGATACCTTAAGATAATAAATATCACATAGAAAACAACCAGATAAAATCCTTACAAAAGAAAAAAAAAACAAAATGTTACATTTCTTCTTTATGTTCAATAGAATGTTTTTCAAAAGAAAAAAAAAAAAGAAAACAACAATAAAGCACAAATTTTTAAAAACAATTCAGGAGGGTAAGAGTTAGAGAGGACATTTCCTCCTCCTTAATTAGTATGTATTGAAAAAGTTCTGATTTAGGAATTTTTAAAAATGACGTACCGGAATTTTCTATGGAAAATATTGCGATCCAGAACAGTTTCTATGGAAAACATTGCGATCCACAACATTTTCTATGGAAAGTATTGTATTTTCTATAAAATTTTCAATGGAAAATATTGCGTTCCACAACATTTCAATGGAAAATATTGTGTTCCACAAAAATATCTATGGAAAATATTGTGTTCCACAAAAATTTCTATGGAAAATATTGCGATCCACAACATTTTATATGGGAAATATTACGATCCACAACATTTTCTATGGATAATATTGTATTTTCTATGGAAAATATTGCGTTCCACAATATTTTCTATGAAAAATATTGCGTTTCACAATATTTTCTATGGAAAATATTGCGATCCACAACATTTTCAATGGAACATATTGCGATCTACAACATTTTCTAGGGAAAATATTGCGATCCACAACATTTTCTATGGAAAATATTGCGTTTCACAATATTTTCTATGGAAAATATTGCGATCCACAACATTTTCTATGAATAACATTGCGATCCACAACATTTTCTATGGGAAATATTGCGGTCCACAACATTTTCTATGAAAAATAATGTGTTCCACAACATTTTCTAGGGAAAATATTGCGATCCACAACATTTTCTATGGAAAATATTGCGATCCACAACATTTTCTATGGAAAATATTGCGATCCACAACATTTTCTATTGAAAATATTGCGTTCCACAACATTTTCTATGGGAAATATTGCGTTCCACAATATTTTATATGGGAAATATTGCGTTCCACAATATTTTATATGCGAAATATTGCGTTCCACAACATTTTCTATGGGAAATATTGCGTTTCACAACATTTCCGATGGAAAATATTGCGTTTCACAACATTTCCGATGGAAAATATTGCGTTCCACAACATTTTCTATGGAAAATATTACGATCCACAAAATATTGATCATGGCAATCCAAGTTCCCTTATATCACATCTTTCACAAATGATTCCAATGGAAAATGCTATACAAAATTGGAATTTCAAACATGCATAACTTTCTCAAGAATGTGTCTGTATTACAAAATAGGACTTCTAAAACTCCACAAATGCAATCGGAAACTTTTAAATTATATCACTCACAATAAGTGCGCGGCAATATCATCACCAATGCTTTAGTCTTACTTAACACTGATCCACGATCATTTTATCATAACCTTATCATTACGTTTGTCGTTTTTCCATGATCTGGAAATTTTTTCGATTCATATATCTCTTTTAAACAATTCTCAAGTTTATTTTGTCATTTATTTTAATATTAAACATTATTTAGTAAGCATCATATTGTATTTTTGTTTTGTCTTGATAAATAAGCAATTTGCTTTTCAATCCTTTCCACAGCTCTAAAATAAATTAGATTACTAAACAAGAAACCAAGATCAGCCTATAATAATAACAAAACAAATATATTCTTGTAGAGAAATCAAAGTAAAAAACAACAGAAAAAAATATAAATAAAAAATAAGCAATGCATATATACAAGCAAAAAAACAACAAAAACACACATGCATATATACATAAAATTAATATATTTTAAGTTGAAAAACAAAAACAATTTGATTTATTATTTGTATTTTCATTAAATTTTTACAACTTTTATTTTTTCATTTCCCTTGTCTTTTGTATAATTTAGTTCTAGTCAAAATTAATTAACGAAAACAAGTATGGAAAATTTTAATAGAAATGCTGAAAACAATACACAACCTAGCGGACGAAAAGAAATTATCATATAACTTTAAAATTTAAAGAAATTGTTTTATTTATAATTATATAATAATGTAATCATTAATTTCAAATCAAATATGTAATTGTATTGAATTAAAGGTAATAATTAATTATAATAATAATAATTATTATAAATAATAATAATAATAATAACTGTACACTTTCTAAACCAACAACAAAAATTATGAATAAAGTTGCATTCACATTTTTAAAGTTTGAGTGTTTTGTTATTGTGGAACTTTGTAATTTTAATAGGATGCTTATCAAGTTGTATGCAACATTTTATAAAATCACATTTATAAATTTTATAAAAATTAACTGGAATAAGTAAAAAAAACTGTAAGTTCGGCCGGGCCGAACATTGAATACCCACCATCCACCATTTGGAACTATTTTGGCAAATTTCAAAAAAAATATTCCGATAAAAATTCTGTTAAAAAATCTTAGAAATACCGTGGACCTGCATAGGTACCTTTGTGTCATATGCCATTACGAACTTCAAAAACCAAATTTGAAACAATTTCGGTAAATAATGTTGCTAAAATCTTAAAAATACCGAATTTTGGGAGGAACCGTTACATGGGGGCTATATGAAGACATGAACCTGCACAGACATTTTTCTGTCATAGGCTGTAGAATCCATTCCGAACTTCAAAAACCAAATTTGAAACAATTTCAGTGAATAATGTCGCTAAAATCATCAACATACCGAATATCGGAAGGTACCGTTATATGGAGGCTATACCAAAACGTGGACCTATATGGCCCATTTTCAATACAAAAAGTCCTGCAGACATTATATACATTTTAGTAAAATTTTATCAATCTACTTCAACTCGTTCGGAAGCTAGAGTGATTTCCACAGACGGACTGACGTCGCTAAATCGACATAGAACGTTATGCTGTTCAAGAATATATACTTAGTGGGGTCTAAAATGTATATTTCGAGGTGTTACAAACGGAATGACAAACTTAATATACCCTCCATAGTATGGTGCAGGGTATAATAAAGAATTTATCCGAAAAATTTTCTATGTAAGCTTTTATTTTCCGCAAGATTTTAACTAGAAAAACGATTTACCCGCAAAACCCTCAACAGATAGTGCGCTAGAAACGTATAAAACAAAAATCTTTCTGAGCACTTTTTAAGGTGGGCATTTTCGCGCCATTTTTTTGTACAGTTCAAAGGCATATAAACAATTGTTTTGACATTTGAAGTTTGTGTTGTTTGCAATATTTATTACTTAACAACAAACGGGAAATAATTGCAAGTAGTTTAACTACACTCAGGCGTGTGTGTATCTACATATGCATACATACATATGTATATACATACATACATGTATTCATGTGTGTATCATAAATTTATGTTGTTAGATGTCCTTTATAATAAAATCATTCGTCGTGTGTGTATACGTTTCTCTAGTCTTCCACACGGACGGACAACGTAAATCATTTCGATTTTTCTAGCAAAAATGCCTTCAGTTATATACATACATATATGTAGAGTGTAAAACAGGAAATGTTATACACATTCACACACACATACACGTGTGTGTTTCTGTGTGTGGACACATACACATAATCCTGTAATGTGTTAACACCCCTGCCAATGTGTTTCCACGTTCATTACTATTTATTTCCACACATGCACACTCGCACACATGCCATTCTCAGAAGAGAAACTTTCGTTGGAATGAGTGTGTCTGGCAGCACTGGAAGTTAATCCTTTTTTGTGATATACACACACAACCCCTTTTTTGTGCAGCAGTCATTGCCATTACTCCATTACTGCGTCATGGCTATTACTTGGGTGACTTGGTGCGTGTTTGAGTTTGTCTGGTGTTTACTCTTCACAACAGTGTTGTCAATTCATTGCACAGAAATGGCGATTATTTTATTTTTGTTAGACATGGGAAATGAAGTAGATTTAGGTCTAAAATAGACATTTTAATGTGTGAAATAACACCAACATTTATCTCGTGGAGTAAACGGAGAATCGTAATCCGATGACAAATCCGATGAGAAAACATTCGTTGTCCAGCAGTGACTTCAAGCTTTTTATGTACTTGCAGCTTAAAGGTGCAAGTACATAAAAAGCTTGAAGTCATGGCTAGGCATATTAATGTCAAATTATAATGGAAAACGACGGCAGGATTTTAGTGCGGCTCTGTAATCTCTTTACGAAATGTCACAAAATATTCCTAGCCATGACTTCAAGCTTCTTATGTACTTGCACCCTAAAGTTGTTTTCTCGGAGAAAATTTTACATTTATTCATTTTACAACCTGTATATCATGGCAGAAGAATACAGGTAGATGCATCAACGCTTGGGAGCATTGATATGTCAAAAAAATTTAAATGGGTTTTTCAAATATAAGAAGATTTTTATATACTTTCTTATACTACGTCATTCGGGGGCTATTATAATTCGCGTTTTTCAACAATTTTTACAAATTTAAATAATTTTTCATTCAACATTTTCAATTCCAAAATTGGTTTGACAGTTCATTGTACAACAGCTGAAATCCACTAGTTTTATTATATGTAGACAAAACTTGAAGCTAGGAAAAGGGATAAATGTATTTACACAGAATGCATTTGAAAAAAAATTACATGTTTAATTTCAAGAAATTTCAAATGAATCGCGTTACGAAATGATGTATTTTGAATAACAAGTTGAGGCAAATTTACCTGTGTTAAAAAATACTCCACGATAATGTATATTAACATGGTAATCGCATAGATCTAAATATGCTTGTGAACTAATTAAAAACAAAACTCTTTTCCGTGAAATGTGTTTAAATATGCCATTTCTGGCAAAGCTACATTATCTTTGGCAAAAGCGACATCTCTAACACGATCTCAAAAATAGGGTTGTATGTCTTAGCACATGTTTGTATGTGAGCAAGTACAGATCGGTAATGGTTTCTTGTGCATCTGTCTTATTTATTTAACTTTACTTCAAATCACAAAAAATTAGTTTTCATGTGTAATTTATTTATTTATTTATAATTTTAACAAAAATTATTTTAAAAAATCTTAAAACATAATGAAAGATACAATGCTATTTTCGTCTTAAATAATCTCTCTCTATTCTGATGTACGCTCATTATCACTACTAATTGATACATACATTGATTCAATGTTAAATATTTAAAAAAAAATGTGTAAAATCAATCAGTTGCCACAGAAAGGATCGGTGACCACCACAACTGTTGAATGTTTCTATCGTATGACTGTACAAACATTTTCTATGACACAACACGAAATACCCGCAAGTTGGACTAACATTTTTTGCACCAGTGTCATTTACTCGTTCCAATTTACGTACCGCTTTCCAATAAGAATTTATTTACATTTTTTGTCAACGACTGACAACTCGTTTCGTTAACTGTGCGGAAAAAATATTTTTATTAGTGGAAAAAAGAAAACAAACAGCCGAATTTTTTTATTATTTACTCGAGATAAGTGATATTCTACAATAACACCAATTAAATTCATGAAAAATATTCAAGTATTTGCTAAAAAAAGGCAAATAAAAAGTCAAGTGGAAAAAGTAATGCACCACCACCATCGATAATAGAAAGAACAACTTTATTACTGTGAGCAGCAGAGGGAAGAAGAAGCAAATGGTAGCAGACAAAACAAAATAAACCTAAGAACAATTTGCAATAAGCAAGAATATAATTAAATAAGACGTTTAATGTGGTGTAGTGTCTTGTTAAAAGTGTATTTGCCATAATGTCATGGTTTATTAGATGAAATTTCCATTTGGGCCCAGCATTATCATGTGAAAATCTGAAAAAAATCGATTGGAAATTCGCCTATACATACATACAAAAAGTAGAGTGAGAGGACTAGCGCGCCAATAAGAGACAATAGAGAAAGAGAACGAGTGAGTCTCTCCCTTCCAATGCCATGTAGATGACATTGGAATTACTACACGCACACACATTCAAAACGGGCACACGCGTATTTTGTTCATATTGCAAAGAAACTCGCGTAAAGAAGAAGAAGAAGAACGAGCATAAAAAATACGTATTCACTGTGAAATGTTAGCACTGGCCAAAAAGCGCAATTTATTCATTGATAGATGGTTGTATTCTCATTGTTGACAGTGTGTTTTTGTTGTAAGCCTTAACGAAGTGACATCAGTCGTTGTGAATGGTAGAAGTAACAACATCTAAAAGAAAATAAGTAGGAATAAAACAGCGAAAAAGTAGCAGGCGAAACGGAATCAAATTGGAAATTTGTCTAACTTATATACAATGACTATTCCTATTAGACTGCGGAAAGAGTTTTGATATTCAATGTGGAATAAAAGAAAACATATTGTGCTGCCACCACCACCGCTGACGTCTATTTCAATAAATACGAGAGTAGTAGGACCAGCATTATCACCAATCAGCCGTGTTTTGTTCCCCTCGGCAAAAACAAAATTGTCAATTGGTGTTGTTTTTAACGTGTAGCAAGAGCCGTACTACGCTTACATTGTTAGAAAAAGTGCTTTAGTGCTCCATAAACGCACACAACTCATTACAACAATCTTTGTCGTCCACTCCAGTGACGACATACGACTGCAACAATTGTTCCTTATTTGTAAATCTGTGGTTGCTTGGCGCTCTTGTACAAAGCAATGGAATCTGGTCCCAATGGGATAAAAGTTGAACCTACACTTGAACAACAACATCTGCAACAGCAGCATCAGCAGCAACAACAACAGCAGCATCATCACCATCAGCAGTATGCTACAAATCTTTTAGCTCTCAATGGCTCGAATGCACGCTTACTCATCGATCATCCGCTGTTGGTGCCATTGTCGCATCACGAGCAACAGTTGCAACAACAACTTCAGCTGCAACAACAGCATCAACACCAACAACAGCTGCAGCAACATCATTTGCAACAGCAACAACTGCAACAGCAGTTAGCCTCACAACAACAGCAGCAGCAGCAACAACAGCAGCAGCAACAACAACAACAGCAGCAACAGCAACAGGTCGATCAACAACAGCAGTTGCAACAATTGCAACAACATCAACAATTACAACAATTAACAGCGGTTTATCCACAGCCTTTGTCTCTGAAACAACAACCCCTTCCTACACCAATTGTTAGCAATGCCGTACCCAGTGTTGCCGCTGTCCCGGCTGGCACGAGTGGCGTAAACACCACTACCTTGGGTCCAGCTTCTGTAACTTCATCAACCTCATCGGCAGTTAGACATCGTTGGAATGAAAGTCCCGAAGCTAGAGCTAGACGCCTAGCTCGTAACGCTGAACGAATGCGGGAACGTCGTAATCGCGAAACCGAAGAAGAATATCGTAAGCGGCTGGCCCGCAATGCCGAAGCCAATCGCTTGCGTAGGCAAAACGAGTCGGAAATGGAGCGGGCAATGCGTCTAGTGCGTAATGCCGCCAGGCAGCGTCTGCGTCGCGCCATGGAATCTCCAGATCAGCGGTCCAAACGACTGGTCAAACTTGCGGAACGTATGCGTATGTATCGAGCCAATGAGACTCCTGAACAGAGAAAAATACGGCTGGCCGAAATGGCATCACGCGCCCGTCAACGTATTGCCAATGAATCGCCGGAATCGCGTAAGGAACGACTGAAAAAACTCAATGAATATGCAAGAAAGGTCAGAGAAAAGAAAAAAATTTTAAAATCTGGCGCGGCGCAGACTCCGAATTCCACCCAGAATTCGAATACGACGACGCAAAGCGCTACAACTAATTGTAATAATGACTCTTTAAATCTAAACCATCAGGCACCGGCATCGTCATCTGGAACAACCGCAACACCAGGCAGTGGTGGCAGCGGAGGCGGAACGAATGGTAGCGGTAACTCTGTAACGCCAACCGGTAACGAGGAGCTTTCTCGTCAAGGCAACTCGGGAACAACCAACGGAGGGGACCAGCAGCAACATCAATTAACGGCATCATATCAAACAGCTGCCGCCTTGGCAGCCAATCCCATTGAATACTATCAAAACATGTTCATTAATCCCACAACGCTACGCACAGGTAGTGCCATCTTGAAGCAGGAACCACAAACACAACAATCTGCTAGTAGCCTACAACAAAATCGCTTTGGCACACCACACCAACAGCAAACGGGGGGTGGAGCAGTAGGTGCCAGTCTGCTTGTCGAATCGGAGGCATCAAATCTCTTTTCACAGCATCTGTACGATGAGGCATCACAAAAGGTATCCCTTAAACTGCCACAAACAGCAGCTAATGTTCCTCATTTCAGCACAATCGCTAGCTCATTAGATTTATACCAACAGAATAAGTATGCTAAGAAGCAGGAGCTTCAACAGGTGGGTATGGTGTCGAACTGAACATGTTTTAGTTTCTTCACGTTTACACGCCCAAAATTGTAGTCTCGTTGATTATTTTGAGTTGGTTGTTTGATGAGGACAACGTGAAAAATAATTACGAAAGGAGATTTTCAAATGTAAGGGAATATAAATCCCATTACGTTTCACAAAAAAACTAAATACTTTACGTATCGTTAGGAACTCAAACTATTGGTTAGCTTCTGTTATTTGTTTTTATTTTGTAGCCAACGATTTAGGCTCAATGGTGGAGGTGTGCAAAAGTGACAAGCGTAGGCTAAAGGTAAGAAAAGGATAACAAACTAGGATAGTGGATATAAGGAAATTTGGATCGTTGAAATTTAAAAATTAAAAATTTAATAACTACTTTAAATCCATTTAACTTTATTTCCTTATATCCATAATAAGAAGACGATAGGCGACAGTCGAAATAGATTGAAATTAGTGCATTTAGAAACATGTTCAGTTTCAGGATAAAAGTTTCGAGAGATTACTAAAAATCAACATCCACATACCCACCCCATAAACATAGCAAATTAGTTGAAGAATTATTTAAATGCCGATGCCAAAAAATATGTATTTTGTTTTATATCAATTCATTTAATTGTTGTTATCTTTTTCCATTTAAAAACAAAAAAACTTAGGCAAATTGTTGTTTAATAATTTTTGGTTCATTATTCAAAATACATGTGCCACACGCACGTATATCATTTTTTCAAATCAAAACCTTATTGCACCAATAAATACTTAAGCAAGAGTTACATGCGTGCATTATTTTAGACAAACAACAACAACAACAACCACTCACCAACCAGTAATATCAACAACAGCGGGTCTGTTGGAGTCTCTGCCGCCGCTTCCAGTCAGAATGAGAAAAACGAGGGACAAAAACTGAAGACAACACATCCACAGATACAAAATCCTCCCACACCGCTCTACAATCAATTCCCCTATTTGGCCACATTTCCAGCAGCTGCAACGGCGGCAAATACAACGGTTGCAGTGACCACACCGCCGAACACACCCACACAAGCAGCCGCTGCCACAGCTTACTATCCCATGTATCACAATGGCTTTCAATTGGGTATAGCACCGAATACTGTGCCGCCACCATTTACCCCTGTGCATTTTACGACCGCATCGAATGCAGTGGGAGGATCCGCGACAGGATCATCGCCACCTAATTCGGGTACGCGCAAAATGCTGAAGGAGAGCGGCGGCTCCTCTTCGCCATAGAACTTGACTGTTTGTTATTGTACTAACGTAATCTTTTTTCTTTTTTCTTTTGTGTTTTGCTTTGTTTTTCTTTTTGTTTTTTTGTGTAACTGCATCTACTTTGTTGTTATTGTCTCGAAATCGTCGCCTTGGTATTGGTTTGGTGTATGGCAGCAGCCAGTCAACAGCAACAGCCACAGCTGCAACAGCAACAGCAGCAGCAGCAGCAACAACATGTCATACAGGATTTTCCAAAATCGGTCCGCGGTCGTCCTAGAAAGCTGATATTTAACAACAACAGTAAAGATCCATTGAATACGTCGCAGGACGATGTACTGCTGCAACAGCATCAACAGAAAATGAGTGCGTTGTTGGAGCAAGAGATCAGTCAAATGTTAGCATCACCACAATTGGCACAGCGACGCGGACGTGGTCAATCATATCAGCACTTGGCACAGTTGCAGCAACAACAACAACAACAACTACAGCAGCAGCCTCAGCAAATACAACTGCAGCAGCAGCAGCAGCAACAGTTGCAGCAACATCAAGACCAACAGCAGCAACATCAAGACCCACAGCAGCCGCAGCCGCCTCAGCAACATCAAGAACAACCGCAACAACAACAACCACATTCCCAATTGTCTCCCATGCCACGTAAAATTAAATATGAAAATGACGATGAAAAACGGAAACGTTTGGAGAAAATGGCAGCACACCAAAGGGCAGCGCGAGCCAATGAAACACCCGAGCAAAGGGCGGTTCGTTTACAAAAGCTAAGTGAACGGGCACGCCAGAAACGTGCTGAAATACGTGCCACCGAAACGCCCGAGGAGAGGAAGATACGCCTAGCCAAACAGGCTGAATATGCAAGAATGCGACGTCTACGAACCCACACACCGCACTACAATCGGGTAAAGGTTGAAAATGATGTTGATGCTGGGGGTGGTGTTGCATCTCCCTCAACGGCGGATCTATACAATTCAACCGGTGCCTCTACCACAGATGGCTATGATACCAAAAACAATATCACTGCTGATCTACATAGCGGTGGAAGTTTGAGTGGCGGCAGCTTATCGCAGGAGAGCAGTCCATCAAATAGTCAGGATCAGCAATTACAACAACAACAACAGCAACAACAACAGCAGCAGCAACAACATCAACAGCAACAAATATTAATGCAACAACGGATGCTGCAAACACCCAATCTACTCAATCACATCAACAACAACAATAATAATAATAACGGTAATAATTTTTTAAAACAACAAGGCAAGGACTTTAACAATCAACAGCAAAATTCAACCACGCAGCAACAACAACAATCCGAAAACAATAATGATATGTTGAAAATTCTCGAACCCATAATTGTTATGAAAACAAAGTAAACAAATGAGGCAACTAAACAGAGAGAGAGAGAGAGAGAGAGAGAGAGCGACAGAGCGACCAGGCCACACATGTTATGCCAATTGTTTTTTTGGTGAGATTTTCAAAATGATTTGTATTCTATGGCAGGACATTTTGTAATTGTTTTTATACCCTTCACCATTCTATGGAGGTTATATTAAGTTTGTCATTCCGTTTGTAACTCCTCGAAATATTCATAATGGACCCTACAAAGTATACATATTCTGGATCAGCGTAAAAGTCTAAGACGATCCACGATGTCCGTTTGTCTATCCATCTGTCACGCTATCTTTCGAACGAATTGAGATGGAAGGCTAAATTTTTCCATACATGCATAGTTTAACAGTAGGCAGGCTAAGTTCGTGAATGGGCCATGTTGGTCCACGATTTCGTATAGCCCCCATATGACGGTACCTGCCGATATTCGGCAATTTGATGATTTCAGCAACATTATTCACCCGAATCGTTTCAAATTTCGTTTTGGAAGATCTTAGTGGGTACTGCAACCTATGTCAAAAAATGTTGTATGCAGGTCCCCGTCTTCGTATAGCCCCCTTATAACGGTACCTCCCAATATTCAGAATTTTCATGAATTTACCGACATTATTCACCGGAATTATTTCAAATTTGGTATTTGAAGTTCGTAATGGGTACTACAGCCTATGACAAAAAATTTCGTAAGCTAGTTCACGTCTTCGTATAGCACCCATATAACACTTTTCATTTAAGTGGTAGTTTCCGGAAGTTTTTTTTGAAAATTTTCAAGTTCCTTTCAAATGGTGGTGGGTATAAAAAAAGTATAGCTGTTTTTTTCTCTTGTTATTGTAATGGGACACAAGTAATGCCAAAGAAGCAGTTGAAACATTTAGTGAAACTAGGAAGTATTTCGTAAAAGATGGTTCCGGGTACACCCCCTGCAACCATATCTCATGCCATGTCAGTGGGTTTTTAATTGAAAAACAAATGGGTTCTGTAGAATGTGGTCTTTACGACATTACAAAAATATTCAAAATCGTTTAATTTCATAAAAAAATCATAACAGATGCTATTGAAATATAAAGCACAAAATGCCCTTTTCACGACTCTGCAAAGTTACCTCATGCCTTCTTTCAAAACAAATGTATTTTGAAGAATGTTGTTTTTACGACATAACAAAAATATTCAAAATCATTTAATTTCATACAAAATTCACAACAGATGTATTTGAAATATAAAACACAGAAAGCCTTTTTTCACGGCCCTGTATTATTTTTTAAAAATGAAATACGGAAGGAAATTATTTGAAAAAAGAGACATTAGCAACAAATTTTATCGATTTTCCCTAAAGTTTGTTTTCTAAGTGTCCTAAATTTGTTAAATTTCTATTGTCTGTGACAATAACTGAATGGGTAAATTAAAAAAAGCTTACGCGTTCAAGAATTCGCGTTTGAGTTAGTTCTTTTAAACTTAGTCACGAACATAAGATGGGTATGGATGGATGTGATTTCCTTCTCGGTATGTAAATTCGGAAACAATATCCTTCGTGGAGATACATAATGACAATCTTCTAAGATTTTGCATCTCCAACTTTGTTTAAACTATTTCCGTAGTTGGTACTTGGTGTTGTGCTCAGACTTGATTGAAATATAAAAATTAATTAATTAAATAAAAAAAAATTGTTCAAATCCGCATAATGTTCCATTTCAATAATTTTCGTTTTAAGGTGGCTGGCCATCTTTTGTGTTTAACCATGCTAATTTAAAAGCTTTTTGGATAAAATAATGTTTTTTTTTGTTGATATTCAAACTATATAAACCAATCTTTGAACTCTTCTGCAAATATGTATCCACCCAAATTAATTATATTTTCGGGTAGTAATTGCCAATTGAGAATGGATTTGGTTTTGCTTTAAAGTTTCACAATTCAATTCAAAACCGAATGAATTACACAATGTCCTTTGCCAAAGAATTGTTTTCGTTTAGATCCTAAAGTGGTCACAGTGGTGATACAATGTTTAACATAACCAAAACCCCCAACAATAAGAAAGAAATAGTAATAACCATAAATATAGACCCAAACACACACACACACTCACACTTATATATAAATATTTATGCAAACCACTAAAAACAGCAATCACTAGACAATGCGACCACTAATTATTATATATTCTCAAACTGAAGATATATATATATTTTTTACTAACATATTAATTGAACCGTCTTGTAAAAAAGCGAGAGTAAGCGAGTTACCTTTTAAAATCATGCAAAATGAGATTTAAAAAAAGACAAGGCAATTGGGTTAAAAATGAGAATTTAAAAAAAAAACTCATGGCCCACATAAGATCGGCCAAGCAGACTATTTTTGACAATAAACTTAGTACAAAAACTACTATGTTTATTGTCAAATGTAGTCTTCCTGGCCGACCTTAAGGTGGGAATAAATAAAGCGATTATTTGGCTGGCTTTAGTCATCGGCTGGCTTCTTCGTAGAGGAACAAAGGAGTTTTACGTTGACCATAGGCTCATTTTTTCCGAAGAAGCCAGCCAAATAAGCGCTTTACGTATTCCCACCTTTATATAGGCCTTGATAACAGTTGTTAAATTTTTACTATTGGTTACATTCGATGTGTCTGGTTATCCTTACATTTTTAAAAATTGTTGCACATTATTACTGAAAGTTGACAGTTCTTTTAGTCACGTTTTGAAAATTCTTGCAGGACAAATTTCGTCTTTGCTTGTAGCTCTTCTTCTCTTTTCGGTTATTTATATTTCGGTAAGCAATTTTGAAACATCTGTATTTTGGAATTATACCCTACACCACAAAGTGGTAGGGGTATTATGTCTTTGTGCATTTGTTTGTAACGGGGAGAAGGAAGCGAGATAGATCATCACTTTCTGAGGCGAATTATACATGTCAATCTGTCCGTCCATCCGATCAAAATGTCAGTCGCATTTGTGCACCAAATGTCCAATATAAGTCCAAATGACCTGAATTTTGGCACATCCAACCGAATTCAGTCTAGAAGCAAGTAAATCAAATTTAGTGAAAATCGGTTCAGATATAGCTGTAGGTCCCATATAAATGGTTCATCCGATTTTGGTGTTTAATTCCCTTACATGCGTAATAAGCACTTCATAACAAAGATATTTGTTGCCAGATATCAGATACAGCCCAGAAATACCTCTGCCAAATTTGATCAAGATCGGTTCAGATTTGGATATAGCTCCCATATATATATCTTCAACCGATTTCGGGTTAATTGTGCACCAAGTCCTGAATTTTGGTACATCCGACCGAATCCGGTCTAGAAGCAGGTGCATTAAATTTGGAGAAAATCGGTTCAGATATAGCTATAGCTACCATATACATGTTTCATCCGATTTGGTGTTTAAGTCCCCCAAATTCGTAATATCCATTATAGAGCTCGGAAATACCTTTGCCAAATTTTATCGAGATCGGATCAGATTTGGATATGGCTTCATATATATATCCTTAATCCGATTTCAGGTTTATTGTGCAAATAATGGCTAATATCAGCCCAATTGGAGAAAATTTCGGGACGTACGTTTAGATTTTGTGAAACTCCGCTATATATTTTTTTATATTGTCCTTCTCATGCACTCTATAGCAATGTTATTTGGTATAAAAGATTAAAATGTCTCCGTCAAATTTATTGAAAATCGATTCAGAATTGGATATTAGCTTTCCTCTGAAACCAAACTATAACTGCTCTAAAATCAAAGTTTGATTGGTGGTATGATATACTTCAAATAAATTCTTTTGTTACGGGAGCTCTACTTAATATGCATAGTAGTGTAGGGTTTCATATAGTCGGCCCGCCACTTTTGACTTTTCCTTACTGACGAAATTTTTTTTATTTTTACAAATAAGATCAGATTGCTGGCAAGTTTATGTAGGAATTCCGTCTTTTTTACTTTTTACAGCTTTCCTGCAAAAGAAAACAAATCGTTATACTCTCTCAGAAAGAAGCTGCTGGACAATTCCTGCAGGAAAAGTAATCAGACAGTCCAAATATTTAATGTTTTCCTAGCTTCTTCTTCAAATATTTCAATGCCGTTGTATCTTCAGATAATTATTGCCGAGTTTCGCCTTCATGTTATAGTTGTATGTCCCACAAATTATTTTTGGTGTTCCAAATGTTCCTTTCAAATTTCTTAAGGTCCTCTTATTTTTTTTATTAATTCGAAGACAACTTTCTCAGACCTTGTTTTGCTGAGCTACCTTTAAAACTATTTAAAAAAATATATCAAATTTTGTTTTAGGTTTTTAGGCTGGAGGATTGGTTTGTAAGATATTCAGAAAAGTTATTGACATTGTTTAGACTAACAACTGTAAACAATATAATAGATCATTTTCCCTTCAGGCTCTCGCTCTTCAATTTGTTAGTTTAGTATGGAAACCCAAAATGTTTTGATTTGTCATAGAAAGGAAAAGGCCCCATGGCCTAAAAGTTAACAACAATTCTTAGATTACTACTATTACAAGACGGTTTAATACAAATCCAAACATATAAATAATATGTAGTTGAACAAGTAATTGTAGTGGAATATGTAATATTATAAATCTAGCAACCAGAAAAAATAATAAACATCAATATCTATATATATGGAAATGTGATGAGGGGAGCCTAATTCACACATACTTATGTAACAAAAACAATAACAAAAACACATTCATATATCCAAATAATAGAATATTATTCTATTACATTATACAAAAAAGGCAAAAATAACAGAAACCCAATTATAAAATATACAATATGCAATAAATAATGTATTTATAAAAAGAGGAAAAGAGAAAACATTTAAGTTTAGCAATCAGAATCAAGCAACAAATTCAATAGCATTAGAATATATTTTATAATTCAGCAGCATACGACGATGGAAGTAGTAGCCAACAATGCCGGACTATCTGCGTGGAGTAGATTTAACAATTATAATATTATCATTATTAACCTTATATAGTTTATATGTTGAAAGAAAAATGTTGTTTTTTTATATTATAATTATTATTCTTTTTTTAATTCTTATGTTTAAGCGTAAATACACTGTTTTCATTGAACCAACCACCCCTTATGTAGAAAGAAAATGTATACATATATACAAGTAGGAAACAACAACATCAATTTATATATACATAAACATACTATATATTATTATAATCCTAAGATTGTAAAACTATAATAACTAAGCTAATAATAATAATAATTACTGTGTAATAACAACAACAACAAATAAATTTTAAATACAAAACTTACACAAAAACCCCCCAAAAAACATATACTTTATGAAAATAAAAACGCAAAAATATGAACAAGAACACATAACTATATATGAATGCTATATACATATATATTTATACAATATATATATATTTGAAAAAAAAAAAAAAACATAATATTCATATACATACACATAATATTAAAATACTTGTATACATGAGAAGAAAACGAGAAAATAAACCTAAAAACATGTATCATTTATTATTATGATAAAACTAAACAAAACAAAAAAATGAAAAATAAAACAGAACACAATAAAGTCAATAATTTTTTAAAGTAGTAAAAAAGTGTGTTCTCTATTTTGTCAAAGTCGGTTTCACAGGTAATTTCAGAGAAATACGCCATAGTTTTCACGATTTTTTAAATTGTATTGAATGAAAGCAAAAAATGTCGGAAATAGCATTAAATTTTAGAAAAAGTTTGGATTTGTTTGAATTGATTACCTTTGGCACGAATTATGGCCTTCAACGGCCAATGAAACCGTCACACGCTGCCCGAATGTTGCTCTGCGGTATTTTGGCCCATACCCGGCGAAGCGCTTGCTTGAGATGATCGACACTTTGGTATTTTTAGTGGCAATCTTACTTTCCAAAATACTCCAGATACAATAGTCCAACGAATTGGTATCCGAAGATTTTGGTGAGCATTGTGCGCTGGAAATGAAGCGAGGAACCTCATTTTGTAACCATTCTTGGGTGGCGCGTGCTGAGTGCGATGGTGCTGAGTCCTGTTGAAATATCCAAGGTCTGCTGCCAAAATGTTTGCGAGCCCAAGGCTTTAATACACCCTCCAGAACATTTTCGCAATAATATTCGGCATTTATTCGATTAATACCAGTGGAGAGCGATCATCGGTTGTTATGGTGGGCCACACCATCACCATGGCCGGCGAGCTCATTTTTCAATATTTGCCGAATGGAATATTGCGATATATTCAGCTCACGAGCCATTTTTCGCCCACTGCGACGCGGGTTTCAGTCAAGTCGTTTATTTTCTTTTCGAACCATTTCTGCTGATGTTGCTGTTTTCTTCCGTCCACTTCCTTGACGACGGGCTACGCTACCAGTATCACGGTAACGAGCGATGGTACGAGACACAAAAGATTTATTCACATTTTAATGCTGGAGTGCTCTAACGATAGCCACTTGTGGTTTTCCAGGCAAATATAAAGAAATCACACGTTTGAATTCCATCACGAATAACTTTTTTCTGAAAAATTCTCACCAATATGCTTTTGTACGCTTGTAAACAGTATAATGAGCTGCCACTGGAATAATTTTAACAGCTGTCGGACGAGTGGCTTAGAAATTGCAGCAGTCTGAAGTTGGTTGCACTTTTCCATCTTACCCTGTATGTCAATCGGCCCTATTACGGTTGTCGTCGTCGTCGCAAAATGAAGTCAAGGCGACAGTAAGAGTATTAGGGTTGTGGTGTTTTGTCGATAGCGATGAATGATTGCTATTATCAGTGGTGCTCAAAACCGTGTTCTAGAACATGAAGAGAAAAAAGAGATAATTTAAGAGAAAATTAAAACTCTGTTTTTCTTTATAATTTACGGTTTTATTTAATTGTTTTTAAACACGAATGTTTGCCAAAATAATTAATAAAGCAAATGGATAAAAAATATTTGTATAAATAATGACTTAACACTGTTTTGTTCTTGATTTAAATAAGCAAAGAGAAATTTGAATGAAAAGAGATATTTCTTTTTGGGCACCGCTGCTATTATCAATGTCGATACAACAGTCGTTTTTAGAGAATATCTGTCTCCGTAAAAAAAATTGGCGACATTGTATTTTTCAGTCGACGTTAATATTGAAACCATTTTATATTTGGTATTTGACTATGAAAATAACAACAGCAAAACAATTGGGAAATATTGAAATCATTTCCGACACTGGTCTGATAAGATCCTACGCTAAAAAACTCAATGCTGTGGTCAATTTAAATTGAGGCCCAAGAGCCAATGACCGGTGCCCACTTTGCAGCTTTGGTGAAAATTTCAGTAAAATTTCAGTGAAAACAGTCCTTGTTAATTGTGAAGTAATTTATAAATCTAAAAGAACACATTAAAGGTGCAAGTACATAAAAACATCAAGTCATGGCTAGGCATATTAATGGAAAACAACGGCAGGATTTTAGTGCGGCTCTGTAATCCCTTTATTAAATGTCACAAAATATACCTAGCCATGACTTCAAGCTTCTTATGTACTTACACCTTAAGTTTAATTAAATTAATTAAAACATGTACTTACTTGGAGTCAGACAATGCAAATATGTATGTTTGCTGCCTTAGCACACGTCGCTGCACTACAGATTTAAAGCATTTATTATATTTGTTTTCAATTTTTTATTTATTCTTTCCGAAAGAGAAGAAATTTAAGATTCAAAATACAATTTTTTTCATCTTCCTTACCAACAACAAAGAGTGTTGCCAACTTTTTTTTTTAAACTGTCTATGTCGCTTCTATGCAACCGTAACGACGACCGTAATAGGGCCGATTAAAATTGTTAGTTCTACAATTACAGAATGATTAGTAACACTACAATTCGACAAATACAATTTTGTTCTTGTAAAATTAGTAATTATTGTCATTCATACACAAACCTGCTTATTACATCATGGGACCAATTATGCGATCGATTATCAGTGGGATTCTCTAAATTTATTGGCGTTAAAGACAAGCTTTCGTTAATTTTCAAAAGCAAAATGTTCATAAAAAAATAAATTCCTGTTAACAACATTAGGTCCGTTTGATTACTTTTGCTTCTTTGTGAGAGAATAGCGCGTTTACTGTGAGAAGTAAACAGACGGAATCCTAGCAAAAGCAATTTACTCTCCATAAAAAGGAATGAGACACGCAAAAATTAAAAATTGAGATGGAAAATTGCGATTTCGAAAAGTTCGAAAAGTAACATGTTTTGTAATTACTTGGCCAAATATAAAACACCGGAAGGGGAAAAAGAATAGTTGTGATTGTAGGGAAGAAATTTGTCCGGCAAGAATTTACACACTCTAAGTGAATATGTGTCAAGAGTCTCTCTCGACTCACTCCCTTTTGCAGATATTTTTTGTTAACACAGGACTTCCAGCAACAATTAGCAAAAATTGTTACAAATTTAAGGGCATCCATTGTTATACTCTTCACCTTAAAAAGGAGGATATATTAACTTTGTCATTTTGTTTGTATCACCTCTAAATATTCGTCGTAAACCCCATGATCAGCATAAAATATGTACTAAGTCGATTTAACGTTGTCCGTCTGTGAGTCTGTTGAAATCACGATACAGCCCAATTCGACACAACAATTGGTATTGTATCTAGGATGGTTGGTATTGAAAATGAGATATATCAGTCTACGTTTTCGTGTAGCCCCTGTATAACGTACCTTCCGATATTCTGTAGTTTAACGATTTTTGCCACATTCTTCCACGGATTTTTCTACAAATTGTTTTTTGTAGGTCATAATGGGTTCTAGCTCCGGTGGAGGAACATTGAATATCTAGATCCATGTTTTCCTAGAGCGCACATATAACGGTACCCACCGATATTCGGTATTTTCATAATCCTAGTCACATTTACCCACTACATTTTTTCAAATTTGTCATTTAAGACTCGTAATAGATAACAATCGTTGTAATATAAAGTTGTCTATATAGGCACCCTGGTATGGCCCCATATAACGGCCTCGCTCAATTATGGATTTTGATAAGATTAACTGCATTGACAGTAAAGGTGAGAATACATAATACGCTTGTTTGAGTGGCTTAAGTTATCGGCTGGCTTCTTTGTAGAGGAACAAAGGAGTTTTAGTTTGACTTAGTTCGATTTTGGCTGTACGCTCCTTTGTTCTATTTCGAAGAAGCCAAAAAATCGTGTTATGTATTCTCACCTATAGATCTTGTCCCTATCAAGGAATTATTATTATTTTGTTCGGTTTTTCGAAATATAACGCACATTATAGTATACGTTATCGAATTGACAGTGAAATCCTATTTTTGCATTTTATTCGAAAAAAAAACTTTTTAATTATTTCCATGGTGCATCATTTCAAACTAGCATTCCCAACTCTGCATTTTCTGTAATTTATCTTGTCAAATTTCAATGCATAAAAACAGTCTCCATCTCTGATCTTGTGTGTATATAATGGATTTATGAATATAGATGTTGACAATAGGTATGTCTGGTTACTTTTCCTGCAGGAATTGTCCAGCAACATCTTGCTGAGAGAGTAAGGTAGTTTTATTCTCCTTTGCAAGGAAATTGCGAAAAGTAAACAGACGGTATTCCTGCAGAAGCTTGCAACTAATCAGCTGATTTGTCAAAACAAGCCAATTTGTCCCCCATTAAAAGAATTAAACGAAAGGAACCACCACCAATTTCACAA